GTTGTTGTTGTTGTGATAATGTCAATCTGTTGTTGTTGTTGTTGTGATGTATCCAATCTGTTGTTATTTGTTTCTGTTGTTGTTGTTGTGATGTGTCAATCTGTTGTTGTTGTTGTGATGTGTCAATCTGTTGTTGTTGTTGTTGTGATGTGTCAATCTGTTGTTGTTGTTGTGATTGTGTGTCCAATCTGTTGTTATTATTTGTTGTGGTGTGTGTCAATCTATTTGTTGTTGTTGTTGTGGTGTGTCAATCTGTTGTTATTTGTTGTTGGTGTATCAATCTGTTGTTGTTGTTGTTGTGGTGTGTCAATCTGTTGTTGTTGTTGTTGTGAATTGTGTCAATCTGTTGTTGTTGTTGTTGTTGTGATGTGTCAATCTGTTGTTATTTATTTGTTGTGATGTATCAATCTGTTTATTTGTTGTTGTTGTGGTGTGTCAATCTGTTATTTGTTGTTGTGATGTGTCAATGTTGTTGTTGTTGTAGTGTGTCAATCTGTTGTTGTTGTTGTTGTGATATGTGTCAATCTATTTATTTATTTGTTGTTGTGATGTATCAAGCTGTTATTTGTTATTGTAATGCATCCAATCTGTTATTTATTTGTTGTAGTGTGTCAGCTATTTGTTGTTGTTGTAGTGTGTCAATCTGTTATTTGTTATTTGTTGGTGTCAATCTCTATTTATTTGTTGTTTAGCGATGTGTCAAGCTGTTACATTGTTGTTGTTTGTGATGCGTCAATCTGTTGTTGTTGTGATGTGTCAATCTGTTGTTGTTGTTGTTGTGGTGTGTCAATCTGTTGTTGTTGTTGTTGTTGTGATGTGTCAATCTGTTATTTTGTTGTTGTTGTGATGTGTCAATCTGTTATTTGTTGTTGTTGTGATGTGTCAATCTGTTGTTGTTGTTGTTGTGGTGTGTCAATCTGTTATTTGTTGTTGTTGTGATGTGTCAAGCTATTTGTTGTTGTTGTAGTGTGTCAATGAATCAAATGTTGTGGTATTGGTATTGTTGTTGTTATTTCTATAATTCTTGGATAACGAGAGAATTTGTTTAGTTTTGGGTAATGTCTTTGTCGGGTTAGGGAGGCTTGATCTCGCCCCTTCTCTGTTATTTCCGGCACCCTCCCACCCCCTGTTTCTCTTCCTTTCCACCTCCCCTTCCCCCTTTCCAAGTCCCCCTTTACCCTTTCCAAGTCCCCTTTCACTCCTTTCCCCTACACTTTCTCTCTCTTTTTACCCTTCCCCATTCCCCCTTCCCCCTTCCACCCTCCTCATTCCTCCTTCCCACCCCTTTTACCTTTTCCCAGTCCCTTTTTACCCTTCCATCTTCCCTTTACTCTCTCCCCTCTCAATCTTATACTCCCCTATCTCGACCCCTCTCATATTTTCACTTTCCCCTTTTCCCTATCTCCCTCTTCCTCTCCTCTTCCCCTTCCCTCTCCCCCCTCGTCCCCTTCCTCTTCCCCCACCTCAGGGTTCCTTAAGGGCTACAAAAGACGACCCCTTTTCCCGTCCCAAACTTATCACCCTTCCTTCTCTCTCTCTCTCTCTCTCTCTCTCCTCTCTCTCTCTCCTCTCTCTCTCTCTCTCCTCTCTCTCTCTCCTTCTGACTTTCCTCCTTTGTTTATTTCTTTATCTATTCGTGCAGTTTATGTTCTCTCTTTCTTCCTTCCTTTTCATTGTCTTAATCTCTTTTCAGCTTTCGCATTTTCTATCATATTTTTCTATGTCTGTGTATCTGTCTCTTGTTCTGTCTGTGTCTGTCTACGTGTCCCATTCTGTTTGTCTGTCTGTCTGTTTCTGTCTTCTTCTAGGACCATCTGACCCAGTTTTAAAAAAGAGACGTAATTCCATTTGTATTCCATCCGCCGAGAGACAAAAAAATATAATGAAATAAAGCGAAATAATGTGAAATAAAATACAATAAAGCGAAATAATATGAAATAAAATACAATAAAGCGAAATAATATGAAAAATGAAAAATAAAAAGATATAAATTGAAATAAAATAGAATAAACTTAAATTAAATAAAATGTAAAAATAGACAAAAATGAAATAAAATGTGAATAAAGTAAATAAATTACGATAACACTAAACAGAGTAGAATACAATTAGAGAAAAAAAATCCAATGTTTCTCTTTGATATATAATTAAATTTATATCATTATTAGTACTGGGGTAATTTATTTTTTGTTACCCTTGACCAAATGGGACTGTCTGTCTGTCTGTTTGTCTGTCTGTCTGTCTGTCTGTCGGTGTCTGTCAATCTGTGTGCATGTCTGTATACGTCTCTGTGTCTTTCTGTCTGTCTGTCTGTCCGTCTGTCTGTCTGTCTGTCGATCACTCTTGTAAAGCCTTGTCGTGTCAACCTCACCAGGTGTATAATTTTGGAAGGGTCGATTTGAAAAGGTCACGACAGGTAATTTGGTCAAGGGGGGAGGAGTCACAGGGTCAGGGGTCATGAGAGGTCACTGTGGTTATCAAACTGGTCGATTTGTTCGTGTTTATGTGTGTATGTATGTTTGTGGGGGTGGGTGTTATTATTATTATTATTATTTCTTTCAATTATCGTCATTATCTATCCCTTTCTTTCGTCTCTTTTTCACTCTGTTGTCTTTTTCAATTCCTTTATTTATCCCTCAGTATTTTTTTTTATGTCTCACTTGATGTAAATTTATTTTCATTTTATGGATGTAGAGTAAATTACATTGTCTAATTTCATGTGTAAGTTTATTGTTCATACTTAATTTGTTTGGGGTAGTCCTTAGCTCTCTGTCTGTCTCTGTCTGTCTGTCTGTCTGTCTGTCTGTCTGTCTGTCTGTTTGTCTGTCTGTCTGTCTCGTGACGGGTTATGTTAAGGTGTCACTGCCTGGCGTAAACACATAACAAATTCTTTCTTATTCTTTCTTAATGTTGTTTTTTTCTGTGGCGGTAGTGTTATGGTCTTGTCACCTTCAATTGAAAACGAAAGCTGGACAAAAATATTCTAGCGATGGATTCAGAGGCAAGACAGAGAGTTAGGGGAGTGGGGGGTAAGGGGTGAGTAGGGGTTGTAGTGGGTAAGGTGAGAGTTGTGGGAGTGGGTAAGGGGTAGGGGTTGTGGGAGGGTAAGGGGTGAGAGAGGGGTTGTGGAGGGTAAGGGGTGAGGGTTGTGGAGGGGTAAGGTGAGAGAAGGGGGAGGGTAAGGGGTGAGTAGGGGTTGTGGAGTGGGTAAGGGGTGAGTAGGGGTTGTGGAGTGGGTAAGGGGTGAGTAGGGGTTGTGGAGTGGGTAAGGGGAGTATGAGATAGGTAAGGGGCAGGTAAGAGGCTAGAGGACTTCTTTCCTACCATTGATACCTACCTTCCTACTCCCCCTCCCCCCTATCCCCTCTCCCTCTCTTAAAAAATATTCCTGAATTCGCCTCTTTGTATTTTCACTGAAATTTCTTAACTACAGGACAATAAATAATAACTTTTTTTCTCACTTTTAATTCTCAAAACAAAATATTGCTTAATTTTATTATATATATATTTGTTTGTATTAATATTTATAATGTATATAGTTATTTTACAGCTGAAAAAAACATGTACAATATCATAATTACTCCTCTCTCTTTGATTAAAATGATGGTACCTTAATGACGGTACCTTCTGGTGATGGTACCTCCTGGTGATGGTACCTCCTGGTGATGGTACCTCCTGGTGATGGTACCTCCTGGTGATGGTACCTCCTGGTGATGGTACCTCCTGGTTATGGTACCTTCTGGTGATGGTACCTTCTGGGGATGATACCTTCTGGTGATGATACCTTCTGGTGATGATACCTCCTGGTGATGGTACCTCCTGGTGATGGTACCTCCTGGTGATGGTACCTTCTGGTTATGGTACCTCCTGGTGATGGTACCTTCTGGTGATGATACCTTCTGGTGATGGTACCTTCTGGTGATGGTACCTCCTGGTGATGGTACCTTCTGGTGAGTACTCTCTTGGTGATGGTACCTTCTGGTGATGGTACCTTCTGGTGATACCTCTTGGTGATGGTACCTTCTGGTGATGATACCTCTTGGTGATGGTCTTCAAGTATGGTACCTCGTGGTGATGGGGTTTGCACCCCATCAACATAATCTACGTTGAAGAGAGAGAGAGAGAGAGAGAGAGAGAGAGAGAGAGAGAGAGAGAGAGAGAGAGAGAGATCATATAACCCCAATGAATTCAAAGTATAAAAGTGGGTGACAGAACAAGCAGCTGAGTACAGGAACTGAAGCGACACTGAGTAGCAATATATGGAGTAAAGTACTTGAGCTGAGTCCAGGAGAGTCCGGTGGTGCCCTTGTGAGAGTCCGGTGGTGTCCTTGTTAGAGTCCGGTGGTGTCCTTGTGAGAGTCCGGTGGTGTCCTTGTGAGAGTCCGGTGGTGTCCTTGTTAGAGTCCGGTGGTGTCCTTGTGAGAGTCCGGTGGTGTCCTTGTGAGAGTCCGGTGGTGTCCTTGAGTGAAAAGGAACTTGTAAAGGGACCTCTTGTGGTTGCCTCCCTGCCCGAACGTCGTTGTAGACCATCTTTCCTTCCTCTTCCTCCTCGTCACCACCTAGTCTCAGCTGACACACCTGGTCTCTGCTGACACGCCAACACACCTGGCCGTCGCTACACACCTGGTCTCAGCTCCAGACTTAAGGAGTCTTCTTGTTGTGGAAAGCTTTTTGTCGTAAAAACAACTCGTTTTACAATGGTCTGAATTCATGGAGACGAGACACAGCTTTAAGATCAACAAGGCATTTAGAAACATATATTTGCGTTATTAACTTTCTTATATTTATCCTTCTCTGTTTTCAGTTTCTTTTGTCATTCATAAAAGTCTCCGTTTTCTTGTGGTGTCTCATAAATACATATGTATGTCGTCCCAGTAGTTCATAATATTGCCGCATCACAACACTGGCGCCACTAGGTCGCTCACTCACACACACGTAAGTCAATAGTGTCACTTAACATTCATATTTGCTCGCTGGGAATGGTTATAGTGAAACTCTTGACAGTTTGGACGTCTTGCACCTGACGTGTTTGCGTAGTACAGCGTAGTACAGTACAGTACACTACAGTACAGTACAGTACAGTCATCGGATACTAACATGTCTACTACTTTACAAAAACTTATCTACAGTAGGTATATCTTATCCATTACAAAATTTTATATATTTCAATGGTAAACAATATATAGATCACTCTTCATATCTATACAACACTGGAAGTTAATAAACTCCTCCATTGTCACATTTGAAAATATGCAAACTATAAAAGCATTGATACAACTTCACTTTTGTTCTACATCACAAACTACAGTAAACGGGGATGTCTAGCAGATGCTCACAAACATAAGGGATAATATATCTAACTTTTACACTCAATGTTAACTTAAGGCTTACAACGAAGCCACGACAAAATTAAAGTATTTGAGCTTTGCCTCGCTGTGTAGAGTCCCTCTTGTGTACAGTATACTAGATCACAACTAGCGGTAAGAAAGTGGCGTGTTCTCGACGATATCAAAGCTGGTGAGTGTAACCATCAGGGAAATGTGTATTATTGGCGTATTTCAACATCAGTTGTAAAATGAACCCTTAATATATTAGAACAGAAGTGAACAGTTACTATAAGAATATATCTTGTCTGTTTCTCTCCTACTTACGAAGTCTCAACTACAAATACCTTCAAGTTTTCACCTTTCTTTAGTTTTCACAATCACGATACGAGTCATTATTGAGAAAAAAATATGAGTATTTTAAGATATCAGATCTCCTAACGTGTCAATATCATAGTGCAACAATCCCGTCATCGTCTTCACACTGTTGAGGATAAGAGGGTTTCTGGTCCTCGTCCCCCTCCCCCCCCCCACACACACTGAGATGGATCCCTCCTCACCTCCGTTAATCACCAAACTCTCCTTGATTAAAAATTTCGGGAAATAATTTAAACTTTCTTCTCTTTTCACAAGTCTAAGCTGACAAGACTTATTAGCGTTCACTTCCCGAATTTCCAAGAATAATATAATTCGTTTCACTTGACTTCACTTGTCCTGCTGTCGTCAAGGATCACACGAGTGGTTGTTGTTGTTCTCAGTCCAAGACACCTTCACTTGTTTCATCTTCAATTCTAACTTCTTTCCTTCAACTCCCAAAGGCTTCTGGTACTTGCCCCCAACTCCCGAAGGCGTCTACAAGAAACCATATAAAGTTGACAGTGTCAGCATCTGTCACACAACTCTCAATTCTCCATCATCCTGGCTACGCTTGTCTCCTCGTCGTCTCTTATTATTCCGATCATCCTAGTCTCTTTGTCCTATGATTCTTCCGGTGTCCTCATCTCCTGGTATCCTACACCCTAACATCCCGAGTCTCTAAACATCCTTACACTCGATGGATATCCTAGCATATCCTTGTTGGCGGTGATAGTTGACGTCTCTGAAGGGTTACGACAGCGTGCAATCGTCTGGTTGGGCGTCGCGGACTTGCTGCTTTGCCTTCTTGGAGGACCTGCGTATGAGGGAGCGACTCCGAGGCTTGTTCCTGGAGAAGGCTGATGGTGGGGTGGATCCAGAGGCGCCGCCGTTCTGAAAAGAGTATTAGGTTAGCAGGGTGTCGTGTGGGGTAACTGGGTGTGAGGAGAATGCTATTTTTTTTTTTTATTCCTCCTGGTGTTTAAGAAAATATGTTTTGAGGTCTCGTCTAGCGGTAATGTTTTTTTTCTTTGTCTTTTCTGTTGATTTTGACATAAGCCACCAGTCCCGGGTGTGTGAGCTTTACTGCTGCTATAGAAACAGATGGAGACAGACGAGAGATGAGTCGAGAGGTTAATTAGGGAAGCCTTTGTGATGCTGATGTGATAATAACATGGCCATCATGAGAGGCCACTTTGTCCACCTAGAAGCCCAAGTAGTGAAGCCTTCCTAAACACACACACACACACACACACACCTGACTATATCTGCGGAAACACACACACACATATGTACACGCACCGCCATCAGTCATCAACAGTAAGCACCCTCTTTCCCTGACTCGACTCTTGTCACTCATCACTGCTAATCCAAACAAGAGAGAGAGAGAGAGAGAGAGAGAGATTACGACCTGAAGCTCTCTCATGAACACCCCCCCCCCCATGACCCTCACAGCCTTCACCACCATCATATAGTGTAGTGGTACAGTGTTACATGGATGCAGTGATATATGGATGCAGTGAAACATACAAACATTGAAGCTGTAATATAGTAAGACAGTGAAATAATACTGTGAAGGAGTTATAATACAGTGATACAGTGCTTAGGTGATACACTCAAGGGGCACAATTGTATATCTGTCTACAAAAAAAACGGAAAGTTAAATTTATTACAATAATTTTTTTTCTGAAGTAGTGTGTGTGTGTGTGTGTGTGTGTGTGTGTGTGTGTGTGTGTGTGACAGAGATACATTGCCCTTTTTGTTTATATCTTTGTCTTTGTCCTCTGGGGGTATTTCTTGGTCTTTTTAGGTCACCGGTTGTTTTCAGTTCCCCTGTCATGACTTCACAAAGCCTCTAATTAGCTGGCCTGGGTCCATCCCGGCCGGCCTACACTTTCACCATGTATTCCAGCTGATTAAGGTGAGGGTCAACCATGCAGACAGAGATCGGACCTCTTCACACACATACATTAAGGACATTTCATGCAATGTTTGAAAAATTTATTGATATTAAAACGTGTACGAAATTGAAATAAGATAAATGTGGAAGAATATTTCAGGCTTTGAGGCACACAAATCATTATTTTGGGTGTTAGTGTCGGCCAAGAACACCGTATCCATCCATTAGGTGAGAGTTAGTGAGGTCTCCGTCAGTGTTGGCCCAGACACTACAGACGGAGGTTGTCTCTCATGAGGGAGTAACATTCACCGGGACACACAGCTATGAAATATTCTCAGCTGAGAATTTCATCTTGTTTGGCAGTCAAGTTTGCACACTTGTGGGGATACACTGACGGCATCATTACACTGTGTTTACGTACCAGTGTGTTGGAATTCCATACATTGAGGAACTTCTGCAATAAAGTAAATAAATGTAAATATGTAGATAGACGTGTGTGTGTTTAACACATGAGAAAGTTATGTGTGTACAATGGAGGCGAGACAGTGAGGGAGTTAGCAGCTGTTAGAGTAGACAGGTGAGGGAAGTGAGCGTTTAAGAGCACCGGCACACGGAGGCTCTCACCGTTAATTACTCGGTAAACACAACAACAACAACAACAATAAAGGGAATGTTCAGGACGAGAGAGAGAGATAAAAGAAGTTATACAGAAATATATTACAAAGTTACAAACGTTTACAAACAAGAAAGAGAATTAAGACTAAATGACATGAATAAGTAAAAGAGCTAAGGTGACTAAATGATAATGGGGTGAAGTAGAAGAAGAGAAAGGGGTATTAAGTGATGTATGGGGGATGGGGGAACTGGTGAGGGGATGGGTGATGGTAACGTGTGTGTGCGTGTGTGTGGCGGTTATAGAAGACATCAGGTAACAGCAGAAGCAGCAGCCTGAATGACTTGTAAGTGATGGCAGAATCTCTCGTGTTGACTTCAGATATCCTGTTATGTATTATGTGTTAAAGGGAGTACAAGAAAGGGGAATTATTATTATTATTATTATCATTATTGTTATTATTTTTACTAATCACTGTTATCTTCACTATGTTGTTATTGTGAGTGTTATTATTTTCCCGTATCTAAAGCTAATTCAATTTCTACTTCTAATTCTAATTGTAGATTTAATTTATATTCAGATTTAAATTTGTATTTTTATTCTAATTCTAATTTTAACACTAAAGTTCTAATTCTAATTCTAGTTCTACTTTTAACACTGACAGGGATACAGTGGGAACGTGAAACAATTTTACATAAGTGTGTTTGGCTGTGGTGAGGCAGTGTTGTAATGCTGTAGGGAGGTACAGTGGTGCAGTGTAGGGGTGAAATATATACAGTATATAAATATATAGTGACTCAGTGATATTGTGGTGAAACAGTCAAGTAGTAACAGTCATGCAGTGATACAGTCATGTAGTGATAGTCATGCAGTGATAGTCATGCAGTAATACAGTGATAGAGTCGTGCAGTGATAAAGTGACACAGTCATGCAGTGTAGTGGTGAAATAGATATAAAGTGACGCAGTGATATAGTGGTGATGGTTATGCAGTGATAGTCATACAGTGATGCAGTCATGCAATAATACAGTGATACAGTCATGCAGTGATACAGTGGTCAGTCATGCAGTGATACAGTGATCAGTCATGCAGTGATCAGTCATGCAGTGATACAGTGATCAGTCATGCAGTAATAGTAATACAACAGTGCAGTGTATACTGTATAAAGTCAGCGCTCATTAGATTCATAATAACTAGGATTTTCATTTCACACACACACACACACACACACACACACACACACACACACATTTAATAAGTTCCATGCGTTGTTCAGCAACAACAACATCGTAAATAAGTAACTAACACAACACAACACAACACAATACACAGAAGGATAACTCGGGTGTTGAGACAAAACATTTTGGGGTCGGCCAAGAACACCGTATCCATCCATTAGGTGAGAGTTAGTGAGGTCACCGTCAGTGTTGGCCCAGACACTACAGACGGAGGCTGTCTCTCATGAGGGAGTAACATTCACCGGGACACACAGCTATGAAATATTCTCAGCTGAGAATTTCATCTTGTTTGGCAGTCAAGTTTGCACACTTGTGGGGATACACTGACGGCATCATTACACTGTGTTTACGTACCAGTGTGTTGGAATTCCATACATTGAGGAACTTCTGCAATAAAGTAAATAAATGTAAATATGTAGAGAGACGTGTGTGTGTTTAACACAGGAGAAAGTTATGTGTGTACAATGGAGGCGAGACAGTGAGGGAGTTAGCAGCTGTTAGAGTAGACAGGTGAGGGAAGTGAGCGTTTAAGAGCACCGGCACACGGAGGCTCTCACCGTTAATTACTTGGTAAACACAACAACAAGAACAACAACAATAAAGGGAATGTTCAGGACGAGAGAGAGAGATAAAAGAAGTTAAACAGTTACAAACATTTACTGAGGTAAGAAAGAGAATAAATTACATAAAGTAACAGAAGGAAAGATGTTGAGTAGAGGAACTGGTGATGGGTGACGGTGATGGGTGACGGTGATGGGTGACGGTGATGGGTGATAGTGATGGGTGACGGTGATGGGTGACGGTGATGGGTGACGGTGATGGGTGATAGTGATGGGTGACGGTGATGGGTGACGGTGATGGGTGATAGTGATGGAGTAATGGTTGGCTGGTGATGGGTGATGGTGAGGGATGATGGTGATAATGATGGGTAATGGTTGTGGTGATGGGTGATGATGGTGATATTGATGGGTCATGGTTTGTGGTGATGGGTGATGGTGAGGATGATGGTGATAGTGATGGAAACATTAACCAGATATAATTGACTGGGCCCAGCTTGGTTGGGGGGGCACACTAGTAGAGACACACTAGGTATAAATCATTAAACACCTGACCAAATGACGTCAGTGAGGGGGTGTTTACATATTATTATTATTATTATTATTATTATTATTATCGTCATTATCATACTGGTAACATTATAATTCATACTATTACAATTATTATTGTGATCATTACAAAGCATAAATCAGCTTAAACATATAAGCTTTAGCTGGAAACCACTTATTACATGATCCTCTTTAATAAGAATGAGTAAAGATTAACATTAAGTTGCCAAGCCCGTAATGTACTCGTGTTTAACTCTAATTAAAAACACAAAACTATATCTTAATGTTAATCTGTCTTAGTTAACTTTAGATTTAACACTGGCCCGAAATTGAGGCCCCCCCCCATGGCACAGAAGTTAAGTGAGACCGCCAAGGGAAAATATTCTTTAGTTGTTGTTGTTGTTTTCTTAGTGTTTGTAATAGTGGGTCGTGTTTGTGTGTGTAAGTGTGTGTAAATTGGTGTGTGTAAGTGTGTATTGGTGTGTGTATCTGTGTACCGTGTGTGAAATGAATAATACGAGAGAGCAACAAGTCACTGCGTTAGATTGTACCAAGAGTCATTAAGGTGAATTACATAATATTATATACTGTCTGTCTGTCTGTCTGTCTGTCTGTCAAGCATTGTTAACCTGAGTCAGATAGATAGATAGATAGACAGACAGCCACATTACAGGAGGACGGGATAGGCCAGGTACTGTACCGTCACCAGATCAGACAGAAAGATATTTATTTATTTTTATCTACTTGTGTTGATCATCGTCACTGGTCAGGTAATTGTTGTTCTTTTTTTTGTTAGTTTTGTGTATTTTTTACCCAGGATGCACGACGCTAGCCATTATGAAGAGCCTCACCACCTCTGTTATTGGTCGAGCTGGGGATGAAAAACACCGAGCGTAATCCACTCTGATTGGTCCGTGGAAAAAACTTTTCAAGAACGCTGATTAGCTCCGTTGGAACGCTCGGCGCGGTGTGATTGGCTGACAAAGCGTCCAATCGCCGGCCTCTTGATGTTAGCCGGCGATGATATTACCCATGAGAGGGGGGAGGGGCAGGTGGGGAGGGGCAGGTGGGGAGGGGCAGGTGGGGGAGGAAGAGATACCATGTGTAGGTGCCGCGATAACTGGGAGCTTTCACCTCTCATCTTCCGTGTCCCAGGCAACCACACACACACACACACACACACACACACACACACACACACACACACACACACACACACACACACACACACACACACACACACACACATGCTTCCCTCACAGGTAGAAACAAGTACAGGAACAAGTACAGATATGGTAAACAAGCCCCCCAAAATAGACCAATCGATTGACGTCATTTCAATTTAGACAACACAGCAGCTACGAAAAACACAATCACCTGCAGTCTATACCAGGTAACTCAAACTAACTGACGTTCTTTAAAACAGCTTGTCAAGAACGTTTGGTACAGGTTCACCTATCCACTGCTCACATCGCCTCACCCGGACATCAGGTTTTAGTTATTATTTTCATTTTTTTTTCGTTTTATTTATTTTATTTTTTTTTAGGATTTTTTGAAACTGACATCAGGTGCATGAAGCAATGTTAACGAGAGATGATGATTAGTCCCCCTTCTCTCATCTCCTCTTATCTCCCCTCTCCTCTTCTCCCCCCTGTCTTCCTCTGTACCTCATGGCCGGACAGCACGCATACACATGACGGTAATGCCACACGTTAAACGATGATGAGGGGGAGAGGGAAAGAAAGAAGGGTGAAAGGAATTGGAAAATGGGTTGGGGAATTGGGTGAAGGGGCGACGGGGAGAAGTGATAGGGAGGCTAAGGAGAATGGGGGGGGGTGTGTCTGGTTGTAATGGTCCCGGGTTCGATCCCACTTCAGTCCTTGTTTATCCATGGTTCAGTGTACTGTATCCATACTGCTCTTGCCAGGCCTCTGTACCTATGTGACCTAGTTTCAGGGTAGGTTAGATTAGGTTAGGTTTGCTGAGGTTAGGTTAGGTTAGGTTAGTTCAGTTAGGTTAGAAGTGAATTATGTTGGGGTTACAGTTAGTTTAGGTCAGATTACAGGTAATTTAGGCTAGATTGCAGGTAATTTAGGTCATATTTTAGGTAGTTTAGGTCAGATTTTAGATAATTTAGGTCAGCTTACAGATAATTTAGGTCGGATTACAGTTAGTTTAGGTCAAATTACAGGTAGTTTAGGTTCAGATTACAGGTAACTCAGCTTAGATTAGAGGTCAGGTTAGGATTAGTCTCCAGGTGTAAGTGTAGCTACAGGTGTATTAATTAACGAGTTACACCTGTGTCTCGCCACTGCCTCTGACACAGTGGTGTTTTGTCTTGACTACCTTAATGATGGCGTTGTGACAGGTGGGACTCGTCTTGTGTGTGTGTGTGTGTGTGTGTGTGTGTGTGTGTGTGTGTGTGTGTTTTATTGACAGAGGCGATGATACATATAGACCCTGACCTGACCATAATAAACAGACACATTCGGTACACAGTAATAATTATTTCTCGTATGCCAATTTTTTTTTACTCGAATTGAATGAAAAATTTGATGGATTCATTTTTTATTAATTAGCTTTTCATAAGAGAATGTTCATGTTGGCGTTTTTCTTTTTTCATTAAATAAATCCTTTCAAATCATTATCAGTTACTTCAGTAAATATCCTAAGGTAACTATCCAGAGGTAACTATCCTAAAATAAATATCCTACGGTAACTCTCCTACAGGTACTATCCTAAGGTAACTATTCCTATGGTAACTAACTATCCTAAAAAAGTATCCTACGGTAACTCCTTCGGGTACTATCCTTAGGTGACTGGCTTTCATAAGACAGGAGGTGTAGGCTCATTAGCAAGACCTACCGCCAGGGGGTGGGGAGAGGCAGGAGTCTATTGAAAAGATCGTCAGGAGGGTTAGGATGGGAGGCTCCTTGACCACTGATAAACAAAGAGAGAGGTAAGGCTAGGCTAGGCTAGGCTAGGCTAGGCTAGGCTAGGCTATAAAGACCATTCCTGTTGAGGTGGATTCGTACAACAGTCAACTACTACTAAAGTCCGTTCGCCTCTCCTCCTGATCCACCAACCCCGAGATTCCGACTCGTGAACCTGAAGCAGTTGACTGAGATACATGATTCTATTCTTAATGCTTCGGATTCGGGGTTCATGATTCAGGGTTTGTGGTTCAGGGTTCGTGGTTTAGGGTTCTTAGTTCGGGGTTCATGGTTCGTAGTTCGGGGTTCCTGGTTCGTGGTTCATGGTTCGTAGTTCGGGGATCGTGGTTCATGGTTTGGGGTTCGTGGTTCGGGGTTCATGGTTCGTGGTTAATGGTTCGTAGTTCGAGGATCGTGGTTCATGGTTCAGGGTTCGTATTTAGAGGTTCATGGTTCGTAGTTCGTGGTTCAGAGGGAGAGCCGAACTTACATAAATAGTTAACTGTATATTATAATCCTCAACAGTGCCTCCTGGTATTCTGTCATTATAAACAGTACAAAGTTATAATCAGTTTGAAGGATGTAACATAACTTGAGTGATTATAACGAGTAGTCTAGATAATGAGGTGGAATTACCTTAACTTCCTCAGATAATTAAGGATGATTAGGATGTTTTTTATCTTCATTTTGTTATTCCACAATTTGAGAAAACATGGATTGTGTATTACATATATGCATCGTGTGTGTTGGATTATGCTAATTAGTTCAGGTAATGAGGATTAAGGTTAACTCCCTCAGGTTAATTACCAGGAGTTAAAATGACCTCAGGTAGATTATTTTTTTTTACCTGGATTAATTAATAGGTTTTTGTTATTTTTGTGGATTTATCTACATCAGTCATGAGGTTATTATTATTATTATTATTATTATTATTATTATTATTATTATTATTATTATTATTATGGTTGTTGTTGTGCGATTATAATGGCCTCGTTAGTGTTGTCTTAGGGTAGTTTATAATGAGGTGATTATCAACATGTGTATTTATAGAACACACACACACACACACACACACACACGTGGGTGAATATAAAGGGACGTAGTGGTGGTAGTGGTGGGGGTGGTAGTGGTGGGGGTGATGGTGAGTGATATAATGGCCGTCTTGAGGTTTTATCCAAGTTTATCCAGAGCGGAAACTAGACCATAATACTACTAAAATATCCCTACACTAACTGGGCCGTAGAGTATAGACCACACAAGTGATCGCGGGCACGTTCGTGCCCAGTGAAAGTTTGAAAGCTCGTGCTTGGCTAGTGTACAGCGAATGAGGGTGCGCCAAGTCCGTAGA